TAAGATTATATAGATTCATTGATTGTGATGTGTCCTTGTTAAGTAACGAAGAAGCTCATCCCGCTTTGTCATGTTGTCAGTTTCAAACAAACAGACATTATTTCACCTGATGGGGTAAGTATATACTCCGAAAGGTTGTGTTCCTCATAATAAAGAAGTTGACATTTATACATTCTGTTCCTAATGTGTATCACTCCTAAATGCCATTCAAAGACTCGACAGATAGTCCCATCGTATGCAATGATGTAAACTGGTCAAACATATTCATATGTACATAGGACACTCTTGTAGGATTATTAGAGACTGTAGTATATACACTATAAAACCACACCTTTCTTCACAATATGAAAGTAAAAGTATTTGTTTAAAATATGCTGGTATAAAATTCACGGAATTAAAGGCACTAGGAATAACTTACATTCAATAATACATTAATGCCTGAGGGCGAGATAGCATGTCACGCAACGTTGAGACCCAGAGAGAGAGAGAGAGAGAGAGAGAGAGAGAGAGAGAGAGAGAGAGAGAGAGAGAGAGAGAGAGAGAGAGAGAGAGAGAGAGAGAGAGAGAGAGAGAGAGAGAGAGAGAGAGAGAGAGAGAGAGAGAGAGAGAGAGAGAGAGAGAGAGAATTTGTGGATGTCAACTTCTTTATTATGAGAAGAGAAACACAGGCTTTTAATGCCACTAATAAACATTTGTCTTTATTTTAATATGGATATTCTTTTTTAATATTGGACTGTGTACATTTTAGCTTCGGAGTATGAGCTTACTCCTTCAGGTAAACGAGTAAGCATATACTCCTAAACGTTGCGTTTCTCATAATAAAGAATTTGATATCCATAAATTCTCCTAATGTGCCTCACTTCTAATTGCCTTGCAAACACTTGTTGTATATGTAGTCAAATAGTAGGATATCCATCTTTATTAATCCGTAAAACTAATTCTACGAGGGTTAAGCTTTGTAGAGGAATTGATGCATGTCATTGTGGAATCTTAAACTCACGTGAACATGTTTTGATAATTACTGAGTGTGTTATAACGTGTTACCTAATATATCATCACATCCATTATGATGGTGTATAGCAAAAGCCGGATCTAGCTTGGATTTGATCAATACAGATTATGGGATTTAGGAGTTAATCCATTCATCAAAAGCTCGCTGATTAAATAAATACAAGTCAACAAGATCAAAGACCATCTGTTGTCACATGATATGGGGTATTGTGATGATGTGGGTGTTGAGAGGGTGGTAGTATTGAGAAGGCGTGGCTTTTCGGGGTATTGGTATTCAAATGAGGTGGGTATTGCGGGGGTTGTAGGTACTGAGAAGGTTGGAGTATTGCGGGGGTATGGGTATTGAGGTGGGTATTGTGGGGTATGGGTATTGAGAGCGTAGAACCTTTTTTGTTTGAGTGACACCATCGTTACCCCGCTCCCACTCAACCTCTTCTTAAAAAATCCCAGACATTCACCATTTTTATATGGTTCCTTGTAGAACGACTCAGTATATAATGGACATCTGTTAATCTGGACCCTGTCAGTATGGAATCCGCAAACTTCTGTCTTGTTAATCTGAACCCTGTTGTTCCAGATTCAATCCTCTTTTCTCAGGTACCTGTCCCTTTGTAAACCCATATACACCATCCCCGACAATCTGGGCTAAATAGTCCCAACCCTTAAGTCAGACCCCCGTGTGCCCGGAAACCTGCACTTACCGCACACAGCTTCCATTCACTACAACACAGCACATGTTTAATCAGTAAAACCTAATCAGAACTAAGAAACTGTACAACTTTGTGGATAACAACTCTTGGTTTATTGCATATAGCGACGTCTCGATGTAGATTCCTACACCGTTATCAAGCTGGAGTGACAACAACCAACAAAATAGAGGTATATATATATATATACACTTGGTTTTCTTCACTCCAGTTTGATAACGGTGTTAGAATCTACATCGAAACGTCGCTGTGTGTAATAAACAAGAAGTTATTATCCATAAAGATATACGTTTTATTATTGAATCAACACTTCTAGAATGCCAATGAAACAGCTAATTAGGACAGTTGTACAGAAGCAAGATCGTCGGGTTAAAATGGTTTCGTTTACACTGAAATTCCGATGTCCAGACAACACTTACAAACGTGCACCCTCACACCCGCCCCCTGTCCCCCCGATCCTCCTCAACACCCTGTTTACACCCGGAGTAACACGCTCGCGCACCCATCAGTGACCCAGCCCCCACCCCGGTGCACACAAGCCCCTCGACTGGGGCGATAACTGGCTCCCCGCCACTTGTCTCCATCCTCTGTGTTTATACAGCATTGTAACTCTCCTTTGTAAGTCCAGATATAATGTAATGCTCCGGCCTCCAACTGCCCTGTGAATGGCTTCAGTCAACAGTGAGGTGAAATTTGAAAAGACTTTAAATATTTGAAAATGTAAACCCATCTATCATTTGCACCGGTACTACAGAAAGATTGATAAAATATTCTATAACTTGTGTTATTCCTACACACTGTCATCATAAGACCCAGTATGCTCTATATCTCTTCTGTATACTATTATATTTTATAAAACAAAAGTATGTTTATATTAAAAACAGCCCAAAAGAATATGAAATAGTTCAAATGAGAATATATAATAAATATTAAACATGTATAGGAAAAACAAATAATATGTGGAAACATTATATATTGCAACATATTTTACAGGAAATACAAGCGACAAAACAATTTTAATAATCATAGGAAATATGCCAAAAGCAGAGACCATTGTGCGATTTAGATATTAATGAAACGACAAAATCCCTTCCACATTCATAAGAAATCTCCGCCAAAAGCAGAGTCGATTGCGCGATTCTGACTATATCACGAGCATGCTTCCATGAATCACTATCAAATATTGAGAACACCAGGTGTTCGTGAAATGGCAAACGAACCCCGCCCCACGTCTGGTGCACGTCACAAACACATGCAAAGGCAAGTCAACCGCTCACCTGTTATGCCTGTATTGACAATTTGTACAGGTATAGCAACCTGTATTTACGTGTATGAAGTAAGTGATGTATCGTTGATGATATTTATATTTTACTATTGAAACAACTATTCTGTCCGTCCTGCGCGACCATTTAGACAAAATGTTTCTATTGGATCTAGGCTCTTGGATGTTCAAATAAATATAAATATTAAACGTCAACGCCAGAGAATAACCAGTCTAGATTATCCTTGGAAACAGATTCCATTGGACGTAAAAGGAATAGCGGTGAAATTTATGTGAATGGATCACTGAAAATCAGTGATGACACCAGGTGTTCGCGAAAAGGTAAGCATGTTCTAATTCAAATAAAGCAATTAATGAAAAAAGCATCTACCTGAACATTGGTCCAGATCTTCTGTATCAGAATGCTGACAGATTGATAACACATTCTATTTCAACCGATGGATATCTTTTCTTGACATACAAAGGTTCAAGCTGTTACTGTAGCGAACAGAATATGCATGGCCAACAATTAATGTCTGCCTTTGCGTACAAGCATAGCTCAGTGTCTGACCACACAAACACCAAGAGAGTTTTCTTATCAAAAGACCCAAATGACTTCCTTGTCTATGCATGGTCAGGGATGGAGTGACCTGCTGCGACCCACGGTCATTAACCAAGGGCCTGCATTAAATGTAGGTCTAGTCTGACACAGACTTGTCGAGTTGTTGGTAGAGGCTATATCATCATGTGTGGTAAAGTTCTGGGCGAAGTGAAGAGTGTTTTTTTGTTTCAATGTCAACTGGAAAAGTCAACGTTTTTGACAACAGCAACGTTATTGTGATGTTTATATCCTACATGTGGATTATGTGTGTTGTGTATTCTTTGTCCAACATGGAGCCGTGGGAGGAATTCGGTGCATTTTGTATTCAACCTGAAACACAGAAGGTTCATTTCTTTAAGGTTCATGTGCAGAATATTCGTTAAAGGATCATTTGGAAGTATCCATATATGAGGACAATGATTCACAAGTGGTGATACAATCTCAGGCCTGCATATGTGGATACGTTTCATGTATCCAAAACCATCAATGCAACACAAAGGATGATGATTATTATGATGAATACATTATGATGGTCATGGAACCATGCTGCCTGGACAGACACTAAATGTTAAGGAACCAGTCAGATGTGATGGTCACTTTTACCATCGATAGCTCAGACGTGCTCAATTGAAAGATACGGCATTTAGATATTCATTTTTTATCTTATTTAGTCGATTTCCACAATTCAATCTCCCCCTTTGATCAATGGTAGCCTCATTTATATAGTTGTCAGGGGACAGGGATTCCGTGTTGACAGAATGAGAGTGCCTTGATTTGACATGGGAAACATTATGCTTGCTTTCCTGGAAGTTACAATATTTCCATCTGTAATATTCAATACCCGTCGCATCTGTGTAATATCAATGAAAAAGGGAGTAATCTACTCTATAAATTCAGCTGCAGCTCATATGTTTAAAACACTACGAAAAAACAACACTTTTTAAATGATATTTGCATATCATAAAATAACAATGCACTTGTTTCATTTTAACATGTGACTTACTATTATGTAAAAACATTCTTTTATTTCGAAAACAGCTGGTCGTCACATGTCTACTGTGCATGCTAATTGAGCGTGGGTTAGTGTAAAAAACAGCACATAAATAAAGAACCAGTTGGTAAATTAGCAGCCAATGCCTGAATTGAACCCTGGGGTCAATGCTTCACGTATGGCGCAACAGACCCGCTCATACTTGATAAAGTTTTCCTAACAACTTAATTCCCTGTCATGGACACAGTGTGAAGTAGAGTGAGGTGTAACTAATTTTATAATTGCTTAATCCCTTGATTGGTATATTTCATCAGGGCACTTGATCCAAGTGTATGGTGACAATTGACGTTGCCTGGTGTTGCGAGATTTAACACTAAGTTCCAATAGGAGTTGAGACTCTTGGCAGACGCTGAGTCTTTGTTTAGCGTGATACGGCCGCCGGGGTTCACTGCCGTCGAAGATGTCGGCGTGAAAGCGTTACTCTCCTTTCCTACCCGACACCGTCTTACTGGTTGTTACAGTATTGGACATACCACGCGAAGAAGTCTCTGTCACTTACCGAGCAATCTAGCGTGATGGACCGGCGTAACGTCCTCTGTCAAATGCCCATTCAAACCCAAGCTTAACCTCGGGCCTAACTTTGTTGTTTTTGTATGATCTGTCCAGTATGTTGAGACAAGCAGTTCACGGGGCTTTTATAGTGGCAAAACTCAATCTGTGTTTCGCTTGCCAAGGCGATTGGTGGTTAAAATAACGAGAGGACCGCGGTATTGTCTAGCGAGAGTGTATAGCGATACCAGTGACTGACTGATTCAAGACAGGCCGACCGACCCTAGAGGGCGGATACCCCGTACACAGGGACTATATCTTGCATTATAAACGGCAGGAGACGGACAAGATAGCACCGTTAAGGAGGATATATACCCGCTCCCATCTCACAACATAAATATAGCACTGCGCCACCTTATTCCAATATTTTCGCACGGGAAATATTTTTTTCTCTTATTTTCCCCCACGAACTGTTGGAAGTGAGGTGTCACCGGAATGTTCCAAACCAAATTGAATGTGTTTCTGACAAGATTGGGAAACGTGAGTGATATTAATCCCTGCGTTGTTGCGTTTCGTCAATGGCGTTAATATGGCCGCGTCCACCTCGCTGTATGTCACACGCCTTTTGACAATCTTTGCTGTCGTCTCCGTCGCCAATGTCGGATCAACTTGGTGGTAAGATATTTTTCATTTTCTTTCTTCATCTCATCCATGTCGTCTCGGCGCTGTGGCGAGCGTGCTCGCTTGCTCCATCATGTAGGGGACGACAGGTTAATCTTATAAATGACATGTCGTTATCTGATAACGAGGAGACCGCTTTACCGGCACTTAACATCAGTTTCCTGAGCCGTCCTAGTATACATAGTTTCTAATATATGTTTGTTTTTTCATCCTATGAAACTACTGTTTTACATTTGTACAAATTGTGTTTCGATGTAAAAGCTTTTTTAGCTTTCATTTTGATATTTTTTATCAGCAAGATTATACAAAAATATAATTGACAATATATTTATATACTATTACCGTGACTGTGCTGTTATTGGTCTTCTACGACATTATGCTATTACGTAAATATCTACACATATACATATTTCATAATTGTGTGTGTAGAAGTGTCATGTTTTTTACATCAAAGACATTAATCAGGCTGAAAAGATGTAAATATATATTTGAAGTGTTAAATGTAATAACTGACACAAGACGGATATTTTAAGTGTTAATTGTAATAACTGACACTTTTTAAAATGGAATACCTGGATGTAATATGTGTACGAATGGACGTTCATTTCTCTGTTGATGTAAACACTTATCGAATTTGGCATCGTCTAAGCGTCGCTAGAAGCATGTGAATATACACACGTGAAGCAAGTCCTGTAACACGTGGTACGGGCTAGGTACCGTCAGGAAGGGATTGTTGTTCACACCGAGGAATGCAGCCAACCAGCTGCTAGACAAAACTTGACAACCAGGAGGCTGCAAATTAAAACTTTGATATTTTAGATAAAAAAATAATACCGATGAACTGTAAATACATATATTATATCTGTTATTTAATTGTATAATTGCTATTATTTCGTGATTAATTACGCGATACCTTAACATTAACCTCTGTCTTTAGCCTATTATGCTACTATAAACGCATTTGAGTGTTTCACAATATATGACTGTGGAATTGTAGTTTATATTGATTATGTATATATTCGTTTTTGTTCGTTTCTTGTATAGTGACCAAACATTTAAACCTAGGATTCTAGGATAACAGTTTTAAAAGTTACACTGCTCTTGTTTTGTTGATTTAATTGTGCAGAATACACATTGTGATTTCTAACAGTTTTCTTAGTGTCGGGTTGTCTTTGTAATACGGACATATATTGGTTACTTATTTGAAGAATATGAACATTTAGATAGTACTATTTAATTAACTAATATTGTTCCGTTCTGATCTTTCTAAGAAATATACAGGAGGGTGTTTGAAAATATTTACGAGAATGTTTTATCACTGTAAAGGTTCATAAAAAATTGAATTAGAATATTATCTTCATTGGGGGTTTCATTGAATAAAGGTTTTGCTGAATAAGTTGAGTCAAAATGTGTTTGAAAATAAAGCGACAAAATACATTTGCATAATCATAAGAAATTTCGACTCAAAGCAAAGTCCGTTATACGATTCCGACTCTATCATAAGCATGTGTTTATGAACCTCAGTCAAATAGTGATGACAGCAGGTGTTCGCAAGACATTGAAAAACCTCAATCACCTAACATCGCAAAAGAAAGTTATTATTATTGTTATTGTTATTATTATTATTTCATTTTAAAGTCATCAATATATGTATATGAAAATATAACAAATAGGTGTGATAAATCTGACCTTATTGCATGGAAGAACTATTTTTAATTATTGTAGAAACACAAACGTCCATGTGACTATCTAAATGGTATCAAAAGAATTATATACATTCCAGCACGGTATGCCGGAATATAGACACTGTAATATGTCATCTGACGGACTGTGATGTTGCTTGTTCTATTAAGTAGAATTTATCTCCCCCGTGCGAACGCAGTTCTCCCAAACAAGGGTTGGTTTTTACAACGTGGCGCGGATGACATGTTGTCCCCACTGCGCCGACACACTGATGTACACTACATAGTCGAGACGTCAAAACTCCACTGTAGCGGAGTAGACATTTACATCATTATTAGGATATCACTCACGAAGTTATCTTCACAACTTTCATCAGTTTCGATTTGAAGACTGGGAATTATTTTATCTTTAAAATACAACGCCTTACAGGTAATTTATCTTTAACAAACTTGGATATATATATATTCATATTTATTTTCATATTTGTTTAATGAACGTTTTTTGTTTTGAAAAAGTATTTTTCAAACAAGAACTTATTTTAATCCCGGAGTTAAAATAATCGATTCGGTGTTATAATTAAATAGTTTACCTCCTAAAATAATACCTATTATTTATTGGTATTATCAGGTTTTTATTAAAAAAAACGCTTTCTAATTTATAACATTAAATTCATCCACTTCTGAATATTGTTTAGTAATAAAATATACCGTAAACTGTATTCCTAAATTGCCTTATTCCTTCTCAGGTGATACTGAAATCATTATTTTTAAGCAAATGCTTCTTTGGTAAAGGAAGTCTAGTATTTGTTTCAAGAACTATTGTCTCATATAAATCTAACAACAATAATACTCTGTTTACTTATTACAAAGCAATATTTCCTATATGACACAACTTCAACTGTTGTGTTGGGATGAATGTTGGAAGAATAACAGTCGAACAGTTGCATTAAGTAACATGTTGTGCAAGAGCATCATAGCATTTGTACCTGGTTGCAAAGATACGGATTTTCTTCTTATACTAGAAAATACAAAAATGGCAATAAAACTGGATATACATACATGTACACCATCTGTAGGTTGCATTCGAAATTTAGGCATTTAAATTAGTAGATGTAGATATTAAATAAGTATTTAAACAATTCATACCCCAGGCGTTTCATAATTTTTACTGTTTTGTATAAATTCCCCAATTATAAAATATATCACAAAGTGGAGGCAAGTCTTTTTGAACATGAGAGAATCGATGTATTTTTTTAAAATAACGATTCCGTCAGGAGAAGTTCGTGACATTCAAAAACGAATATCATATACCACGAGAAACCAGAGACAAGCGAGCTGAATAATAAATAAAGTGCGATATTTGATAATCTAGTCATGTAATACCATGCATTTGCTGATTGTCGCCATTATTCGATTAGCACATCTGATTTATTCATAGATTCCCTCAGTCAAAGCTATTCATGGTAATGTACGTTCAATCGGTCCCTTTAAATATTTACATCCTTAGGACAATTGGAACTTCAGGGTTGTAGCTATGTCTTAAAACTCTTTGTAGAAATAATGAAGTGATACCGGAAAATATATCACCGAAAATATATTCATCATTTTGCCATACGCCTGTATATCGGTGTTAGTTTCGTGATGGGCAAAGAGACCGCTTATCCTCATTACCGAGGATATCCGGAAATAATTTAAATTTGAAGTAAAAAATGAATCGTATTATTCATAAGACTTGTCCCGGTCTGTATTTTCAGCAGTTGGAACTTCTCAGGTTCACAAACCTGATGTTTTTTCACATAATTGTACGATCCCTGTAGTAGATTTCAACGCGTGTAATTAAAGGTTTACACGCCGAACTTCTAAACTTACACAAGGTTGTGACGTTTCCAATTTTCTTGTCTGGTGCGGATTTGAGGATAAATCACAGTGGTTCACTCCGTGATATGTGAGTCGTTTGCAGTCTTGATTGATTACCGCCATACTTCAAAGGTTTCTGATTAAACTTTAATGGTTACTAATATCCCAGAGAGCAGAATTGCATTAAATATAGATAGTTTGGCCTCCATGCTGTCCACGCCAGAGTCAGGTCTGTGGCGGTAACACTTTGTGGAGTGATAGCAATTGGAGCTTTATTAACAGACAGACATACAGCTTATAGATAGATTTATTAAATAAGATGGGTTTTACTTTGTGCGTTCCGTGACCTGTATGAATTTAGCTTTCCTTGTTATTCAATATGGTACGCTTTCTCACAATTATTCCATTCAATGAATGTGTTAACTTCATTCTCCTGTGTTTTTGTACCTAAATGTATTCAACCCAAAATTGTTTTTCATATGACTATAGTTAATCTCTCAAGGCATTTATGTCATATGACTATAGTTAATCTGTCAAGGCATTTCTTTTCATATAACAATAGTTAATCTGTGAAGGCATATTTTTCTTATAACTATAGTTACTCAATGAACGTGTTAACTTCATTCTCCTGTGTTATCGTACCTAAATGTATTCAACTCAAAATTGTTTTTCATATGACTATAGTTAATCACTCAAGGCATTTATGTCATATGACCATAGTTACTCTCTCATGACATTTTTCATATGACTATAGTTAATCTGTCATGACATTCTTTTACATGACTATATTTACTCTCTCATGACATTTTTTCATACGACTATAGTTAATCTGTCAAGACTTTTTCTTCATATGACTATAGTTAATTTGACTTGGAATGATAGATTAACTATGGGTTATATGAAACAAAAATCGGGTGTTCTTCTTTTAAATAGTATATATTCTATATTTTTCAAGACATAAATTACTCTAGAGTAGATGGTTGCAAGATAAAAATGGCTATATATGTCACCTTGTCCTGAAGAATGTTTCGTTTAAGTTATAAATAAAGATATATAAATAAAGATATAACTCTGTTGCCATTTGCACCGTTGACATTACATTAAATAAAACAAAAAATACACACAGAAGATATTTGTTTATAAAACAAAAAAGATTCATTTTTCTATGTGAAATTAACCACCAAGGACATGGATTATTGCACTTTTCAACACGTTAACTCTTTGTCTGGTGTTATTAACACCCTGGGATATCAGGAGTTAATGGATGAGCTATCTTGTCTCTGAATCACTGGCTTTGATTCCTCACATGGCTTCAATGTGTGACGACTATTCAGCCCCGCCGTGATATTACAAGGACATTGTTAAAATTGGCGTCCAATTCCACTGAGCCACTGACTCGGCACTGTTCCCAATCATTGCTAGAATAATATACAGTGATAGCTAGAACGTCGAACCCCTTTAACCCGGAAACCTCGCTTTCCGGACGATTTTGACTGAATGTCAATATACAGTTACAGTACAGTAATGACATTACTTAGCATCCACAGCTCGCTAAACCGAACACTTTCTAATCCTGATGATTTCACGAGGGACGGTGCCATCCAGATTAACGACGTTTACCGAGAGTTTTAGGGCTTCGGCCCTTCCCCATACTGAAGCTCATGTAGCACATGTGGTGGCTCCTTGGGCAAGTGACTTTGTTCGAGATATGCCTCTGTTCTCTCCGCAGTGAATGGGTACCCGGTAGAATGAGATGGTAATGTGACGGTTAGCCTTCTAGCGCCTCACAGACAGCTTGGGTTGTATACTCCCTAGGGAGCTGAAGACGAAACATCTAGCGCACACTGATCTATTGACCAGGGTAATAATAATGTAGAGCTTTGAAATACATTGCCTGCGGAGGTATGCGCTTTACAAGATTATTATTATAATTATTATTATTATTATTATTATTCCTCCTTCTTTGACGTAAGCTAATTAGCATAGTGTAACAGTGAGTGAGTGAGTTTGATTTTACGCCGCTTTTAGCAATATTCCAGCAATATCACGGCGGGGTACAACAGAAATGGGCTTCACGCATTGTACCCATGTCGGGAATCGAACCCGTGTCTCCGGCGTGACGAGCGAAAGTTTGAACCACAAAGCTACCCGACCGCCCCGATTTAAATAAGAAGATATTGGTGCTTTACGTGTCAGTGTATTAAAAAGATATTGTGTGTGAAATTACCGTCACACACACACACACACACACACACACACACACACACACACACACACACACACACACACACACACACACACACACACACACACACACACACACACACACACACACACACACACACCGCACATTCGCACCGATTATGTTTCCAGGTTTGTCAGCACCATACCCGTGCTTGTAGGTTTCACCGAAGTGGTAAACGTCTGAGACCTGCATCACTTCGGGCTTTCCTCCCACATTAAGCTGACATGTCTTTATATAGCTGAAATACTGTTCAATTCAGCAATAAACCCCTCACTCACTCACTTGTATCTATTTTGTTACTTTGCAGGTTTATAAGTCAGCTGCCCCTGCAGGTGTTGGGGGCTGGGGTACTGTGCGACAACATCCCCGGGCTGGTGGGGAAGCAGAGACGACTCTGCCGCAGTCACCCGGATGTAATGGTCAGCCTTAGAGAGGGAGCGCGGCTTGGCGTAGAGGAATGCCAGAACCAGTTCGAATCCCAGCGCTGGAACTGCAGCACGCTCGACCGGGATGCCTCGGTGTTTGGAAAGGTCATGTTGAAAGGTGAGGAGTTGAGTCATTCAAAACAACAGGATGGAGTGCGGCTAATCGTCAGGGCAATGTGTTGGCTAATAGGATTCCGGACTAGAATTGGTCTTCAGCAACCCATGCTTGTCGTAAGAGGCGACTAACGGGATCGGGTGGTCGGGCTCGCTGCCTTGGTTGATGCATGTCATCGTATCCCAATTGCGTAGATCGATGCTCATGATGTCAATCATTGGATTGTCTGATCCAGAATCGATTATAGACAGACCAACACTGTTTACGAAAGGGGGATGTCCAGTTATTACTTGTATGTTTTTTTCATCTAAAAAATACTCCTCTCTTAACAATGGTATAGGCATAGACACAGACAAGGGGCCGATATGAAACGCCCTGTATTACGCTTATATATTACACAAAAGAAGTGTTAACGAACATCCGAGTATTTTCAATTGACAATATCAATATGTCATGTGTCACGGCCTTGACAGATTAACTATAGTCATGTGAGAATATCGGATGTTCTTAACTTTTTGAGTAGTATATACAAGTTCGGCCATGTGTACACGGATCTACGCAAAGATTCGCACTTTCTGAGTTCGAATCCAGGGTCTGCTCCGATTATGTTCCTTGGTTCGAGGCGTCCGGGTTCCACCAAAATGGTAAACACGTAAGTCTTTTGTAACTTTGGACTATCCTCCAACATTAGACTGACGTTCCTAACTGAGATACTGTATATAACGACGTCAAACCCAACTCGCTCACTCAGACATAAACTTGTGAAAAGAGGACTGTAAAGCATTCGGAAGACCAATGACGCGAAACGAAAAATACAAAACAGTCAGCTATGTTTTCAAACAGAGACTGAATCCTGTCAAGGGGCCGTAGACATAGGAAGGGATTCGAACCCGCGATATACGAGGGCCCTGACCACTCGTACTTGTGCGCATTTCAACCATTCTTTTATTTATTAAATACGCTCCCAAAGATAAAGGGTTAACTAAAAAAATAATTTAATCAGTAACTCGTTTTGCACGTGTAGTACTCAGCTCCTCATACTGCTTTCCAGAGGGCTGCCTCTCTAATTGATTTCCTAGACCTCTGGTGACCTGTGTCACGGTTAAAATTGACCTGTCGCCAATCGTCACCCCGCCCAGCGATGACTGACAGACCAAATTCCAGTATGTTAGGGAAGCCATTAACTTGGGAGGGAACGGTATTGTAACTTTAATCGTTCCGCTTCAGGGCCAATGATCAGATTGCAAATCTTAGTTCTACTTTTATAAGGAACTGACAGTCTTTATGATAGAACGAGCGTTTTGACAGCGGTACTTTGGGAAGCTATTCAGTTACAATATGAAAACACTAAGATTAATGACTTGCCCCACTTGCAGAATATGATAGTGTTAAAGGTAATCTGATTAAAGATTAAGTGGCTTTTCAAAATATTTGGATTAAATATTCAAGCTATGACATTTGGGAAAGACACTGTCTGCGTATTTGGCCTTAGTTGACGTCGATGGTGCTTGATTAGTGTGTTAAAACACCGGCTATATCTCAGCTATAATATAGGGACAACGTGCTTTGTAGTGTGATGTGTGTGTTGGTGAGTTGGCGTATGTGTGTTCGTGTGTTCTGTTAGAGCGTGTATCCTTGAGTGTGTTGTATGAGATTGTCTTTTAGTGTGTTTCTAGCGTGCGTGTGTGTGTGATTATGTGATTATGCGAGTGTGATTGTGTGACTGGGTGTGATTGTGTGTGACTGTGGTTGTGTGTGACTGTGTGTGGTTGTGCGTGACTATGTTTGGTTGTGTGTGACTGTGTGATTATGTGTGGTTTTGTGTGACTGCGTATGACTATGTGTGGATGTGTGTGACTATGTGTGTGTGTGTGTGTCCATGTGTGTGTGTGTGTGCGCGCGCGCGTGCGTGTGTGTGTGTGTGATACAATGCTGAAGATATATCCGTACATCTGGTGCATCCTAGTCTTGTTCTACACTGTATGTGCTAAATGAGGTGTCAACTTTCAATGAACAAACATTGATGAGGAGAAACTGTACAGTGAAAGCCCGTTATTCCGTACAGTACAGTTGACAGTACAATCCTCCGGATTAACGAGTCATGGATACTTATCTATCAATCATTGATTATTCTTACAGGCTAACCACGTCATTCCGAGTAAGAATTGGTCAGCAACCCATGTTAGTGGTAAGAGGCGACTAACGTGATCGGGTGGTCAGGCTCGCTGTCTAGGTTGATGCATGTCATCGTATCCCATTTGCGTAGATCGTATTCATGATGTCAGTCACTGGATTGTATGGTACAGACACGATTATTTACAAACCGCCGGCATATAGCTGCAATATTGCTGAGTGCGGCGTAAAACAGGTTCACAGCTGAAGACCAGCATGGCATTAACAAAGGTCACTGTATATAATTCATAATTCTGTCATCAGTAATTGACAATATATTTTTCATTTACATATATTATTCATTATTCGTGCCAGATATTTGTTTACTTTTAATTGCTTTCGATCCTCAGCTATAAGCAGCTTACGCTCTTAACTAATTTCTTGACACGCACATGTTAAATAATTACCCCGGGTCTCTTCGTCTTGGGCCCCGTACAAAGGTATTTGGTGGGCGAGGAAAGGTCAGACACGTGATCACAAGTAATTTGGAATGAAAAAACTTGTAATGATTCTTCACAGTTTAAAAAAACAACATCGAAGTCGAAAGTAATTCTCGGCTCATAACAAGCTTGTTGAAATATCGCCGCCCGTTTTTATGTCCCCTGAAAGATTAATTACCTGGTCCGCTTCCGTTTTTGTCCAATCCATATTTCACTAGGACCCCCAAGACGATTTGTTCAGGGCGGTGAATTCTCTGGCTACGGGTTTTAAGGCACTCGAGGTATTCGCGCTTGTTCAGATTCCTTCTATCCATTAGTTATCTGACGAATGCAGAGGAAATTTGAAATTACGTAAAAATAATTACGTTTTGATGTCCCGTGTGTGTCAGAAATGGTTTGATTATTAAATAACATACTTTATGATATTACCAACCATTGTAAAATTATATACCGTACCAAATTTTCAGGAAATTATTATTTATAATTCCAAACATACACTTTCCTTAAGCAGAGCTTATTAAAAACAGAACGTATCATAAAGTCCCCTGGATAATGGATATAAACATATGACTGAAATGAAAGCGCTCCAAACAGTTGAACCTTGTTAGTCCGGGTCACTCCATAAACCGGACCTCAAGAAATGGCAAACAAAGTTCACTGTCGTGTTCGATGTTTGGTAAAATGAGTTGTATTGAGACCAAATATTTTTTCAGCAACAGCTGCAAAACCAGATATTTGATTAAGAAACAAAATGAGCTAACAATGTAATTTTTGTGGCAGATAATTATTTGTTTCCAACAATATGAAAGTTAATTATGTTTTTCACGAATTTTCGGGTACAATTTACCATTTTCAATACACTCCCAGCCCCGCGAATATCAAACAGTCGGCCCCTCAAATCCCAACACACGCTAACTCCACCGCCTCCGTCATCTGTTCGATACAATTCCGCGTCAAACCAAAAGACGTTAAAAGATGGTACTTGTTGTTAACCCGCCTGGCGCTCGGCGTTATGGGGATAAAAACAACGACTGGTCGGCTGGGAGTTATTATTTTATGTCTGGGTGGGTGTCCATGTTAAACTGAAGCATGGTATCTCAGTGACATAGCACAAAAATACCGGCATTAGTCCGGACTAGTACAAAAAGATATACACACACGCACGTGCGCCTGCACGCACACGCACACGCACACGCACACACACACACACACACACACACGTTGCTATATAAGCGTATTAATCTTGAACGCGACGTTAAACCCCACCTGACCTCACCTCACGGAACGTGACGCCCCGACGAATCAATAACTCAGGCAGACAAGACAATCAGATGCCACTCGCAGCCAAATGCAACAAGTGGAATATGCGTCTTTAAAAATGCATACGAATGGTGGCGAACTTGGCTCCGTATCAGATCTTTCCCGACATGCACTTAGTATTCATTCTAAATGTGTTTCCGGTTCGTCTGCTTGCACTTACGTGTTGACAGAACGGCGATAACGCAGGGTTGGGTTTTTTCATATTTCTGGTTTATTCGAAATGTTTCATTTTTCCACCATGGACATTTCTTGTTAACGTATCCCTTGAATAAAATGTGTATTTAGCGGGATAGTCTGCACATATATGAATACCGACCACCTTACATCAGCTGACACTTGGAAACCCCGGGCCATCTTTGTTTGTGTTCTTGTTATTCTGTAAATATTCGTTTTCTTGAAAAAAATAATTCCTAAACTTTATTGTTTTTGAAACATTTTAAAATTCTTAATGGGAAACTTTAGCCCCAAACAAAGATTGTGATCATTTAAATGAAGTTATTACTTACCTTTCTTAAACTCGTTTTTTTAAATGCAAGACACTCCGACAACTGAAATATTAAACTTACAATATCTTATAACCACAAGAAATCTTTTAATATACAAACAAGTTTAACAACCTTTAGTAATTTACTTTATAAAAAATGTGTGCCATACAAACAGTAATACCTTTAATAAATAAAAAATAATTTACGACCAACCAGAAATTAAGCCAGTTTAGTCTCCGACCGCATCATGAATAGGGCCACTTAAGTATATAAAATAAATCTCCCTGGCTATGCAATGGCTCTCGCGAGATAACGCACAGTCTTTAACACGATACCGAGATAGTTGTACTATGTAAAGACAATGTTATGTCCCGCTGGGAGCCTAGCCCCTGATACACTATGGGAACATGATACGCCATTGAGAGTGTAGAGATACCGAAGTCGGTTTGGGGCGATTTTATCACATATACCTTACATTAAAGGTACTACCGTAAAAATGGTACCTATCCTCTTGTTTTTCCCTAATACTTATGGCATAAACATTAAAAAAACATCTCATCCCGTCTTCATCCGCACGGACGGAAGCTAGAATGTCGATAACGTGCGTTATTTGTGTTTCGTGTAATACAAAAAAGTTATTTCCGATATTCTTTAGTATTTACCGCCATCAATCCTGTATAAAAGGTAACATAAGCCTCATTGAGTAAACCCTAAGTGTGGTATTTCGTCAGGTGGGCGTGTGACGTCATAGGAACAAACCCTTGTGTTTGCAATTACTGGTTCTCGTTTCCGAACGATATAAGATCAGTTGTGCGTGCTAGTACCGCAGTCAAATGCTCTGACGTCACAGAGGACGTGACACGAAGGAAACGTAGAGTAATTTATCGTGACAAGATCCCCATAGTATTAACTCTAATAACATTGGGATGATAACGCTTAAGCATACGAGATAGGGGGTACACACTGTATTACATGCCGTCAATGTTATCACAGATGTGTTGGTGGTTACGACGTCGGGTTTATAGCCGACAAAACAGAAGCTTAAAGAGCTACCAGGATGGGCTCAATTGGCAGGCCAAGAAAGTCAGGTTATCAAGGCCATTTTGGTGGTCAGCTAACTCAGTTTCCTGATTTATTTCAAACTAGTGTTAATGATGGCCCACTAATTATACCGAGAATATCCCAGATTCACACATGGCACGAGTTTCCTTGTCTGGACCTGGGCCCCGTTCCGCAAAGCGGTCTTAGCGCTACAGTTGTAAGTCTATGCAAAGACGTTTAGGCGTTACAGTCCATATTAACGTGCGGGAGTTACGATCGTCTTAGCGCTACAGTTGTAAGTCTATGCAAAGACGTTTAGGCGTTACAGTCCATATTAACGTGCGGGAGTTACGATCGTCTTAGCGAGCGCTAAGATCGTTTTGTGGAACAAGAAACTGGATAGTTGAACGTGGTCCATCTAACAACATCCTTAATATCAAATTGAAATTTCAGTGTTAATGTTTCGGAAGTTCGTCCTTATACACAAACTCCTTTCCATGTTTTATAAAGAAATATTAAGAATGATGATTATTAATATAAATTCGTTATAATCATAAACGAACATTTATGTTTCTTAACCCTGGTTGGGGTTGAGTCAGTCTTTGCCACTTGTATTTAAGTTCCATCCAGAAGTGGGGGAAGGTAGCACAGTGGGTAATGCGTTCGCTCGTCATGCTGAAGATCCGGGTCGATATCAACACAGGTGCAACCTGTGCAACCTGTGCAACCCCTGCCGTGGTTTCGCTGAAAAGTGTTCAAAGTTGCACATAACGGCAAACAGCTATTCATTCTAAATTTGTTTTTTGTTTTTTTCTTTAACGACACACTCAGCAATATGACGAGAGTCAGTAAAAAATCGAGTCTGGGCCAGAAAATGCAGTGATTGACATGATTAGCATCGATCTACGCAATTGGGATACGATAACATGCATCAATTAAATCAGCGAGCCTGACCACCCGATCCTATTAGTCGCCTCTTACAATGAGCATGGGTTGCTGAAGACCAATTCTATCCCGGATCTTCACAAGGGCATCCTAAATTAATAAAAGTACTTGGTGATGAGCTTCAACCTTTTGTCCTTCCGTTTTGCTCCAAATGTTTCCTCGTTTGAAAAGAAAAAATAAGAATAAAAAAATGTTTCCTCGTTTGAATGTCAGCACCATGGTATTCTTATGTTGACATCGCCATGTTTCAAATATGTCAAATATCAAGTCATAATTGCAGCTTTGTTTCGCTATGTTAAGTAGGAAGCCGCGAAGCAGCTTTCGTCTATGCCATATCGTCAGCAGGCGTGGTGCACGCCATCACGCGGGCATGCAGCAAGGGCGAGCTCCACGACTGCGCGTGTGACCCAAGCAAGAAGGGGACGAGTTCAGACAGCCGAGGCGAATTTGACTGGGGAGGATGTTCCGATTGGGTCCAATATGGAAGCAAGTTTTCTCGGATGTTCATTGACGCCAAGGAGAGAAAAGTTCGTGATGCACGTGCCCTTATGAATTTGCATAATAACAGGGCGGGCAGAAGGGTAAGGAGTGATATATACATTAATATTTTATATTTTCCATTGCTGTTTTGGATGTACCGTGGCAATGTGTCGAATTTACAAAGGCCAAGTTTGGAGAGCGCCATATTCAAAACCGAACTATCTTCGAAACGTGCCCTGTCGGCACCTCATAAAAAAATAAGATGAATTATGTTCACATTTATGTTTTTGAATCATCAATGTTGAAAGGTACTGCCATGTTAAATTAGTTCATTTGTTATTTTTAATTTTCAGGCCGTGAAGCGATTCCGGAAGTTAGAGTGCAAATGTCACGGAGTTAGCGGGTCGTGTGCAATTCGCACGTGCTGGCTAGCGATGCAGGATTTTCGGCGCGTGGGTGATTACCTCAAGACAAAGTATAATGGCGCCACACAAGTGATGATGAATCAAGAAGGGACGGGATTAATAGTAGCCAACAAAAACCACAAGAGGCCCACCAGATCGGATTTAGTGTATTTTGAAATGTCACCGGATTACTGTTTACGGGATTTGGAAATAGGTGAGTTATATTTGTACTATTTTACTATCGTGACGGTAGTTTGGTCCACTGGGTAGTGCGTTCGTTCGTGACGCATAAAACGTGTGTTCGATTCCCTTCATGAGGAGTAATGTGAAGTCCTTGGATTCGGTCCCGTGTCAGTCACTGCGTTTGTTGGTACGAATAAATACTAATCTATGTATATTCATGATACTAAACAATGTCATAGGCCTATAGTATATTACCGTATTTCCTCTATTAGACGCTGGAAAACCAATATACGGTTCCATCATCTGATGAAGTGAAGTATCCATATCACATGAACTTACGCTTTCACTTTCGGTATTTCCCGTGTCTTTGGAAACGGGACCGCCTCCGTTGTCTGGTGGTAGAGCGTCCGCCCGGAGAGCGGGGCTCGATCCCCGGCCACGTCATACTAAAATACGTTAAAAGATGGTACTTGTTATTACCCTGTCTTGCGCTCGGCATTAAGGGGATAAAACAAGGACTGGTCGGCTCGGGGTCAGTATACTGTGTCTGAGTGGGGTATTCATGTTAAACTGCGGCATGGTATCTCTGTGAGCTAGCACTATAAATCGGCATCAGTCCAGACTAGTACAAGCAGCCACACACACACGCACACATGCACATCACTATATAAGTGCGATAATCTTGGACGCGACGTTAAACCCAAATTCACCTCACCTCACCTTTTGAAACGGCACATACCCTTTATATGACTGCAAAATTTGGTATTCGGTAAAGCAGTGAGTTGTCACTGTTTCAGCTGCGCATTAAACAGAATAGACGCCGGGCCAACGGTTTGCGCGAAATTGATACACGTCCATGTGTCTAATAAAGGATATACGGTAATTATAAAATATGTTGTAGAGAGTGCCCATTTGACTGAGATTTGACTGAAAAACCTACACACTATAAACACTGCATCGATGTAGTCAGATTCGTGTACAGTAAACTACGGTTATAACGAACACGCTTATAACGAACTAACGGATATAACGAACTAACTTTTTAGTCCCGACTATACGCTGTAGCCATGCTGTATATATGCTTATAACGAATTACGGTTATAACGAACTACAATTAGTTGTCCCTTTGAGTTCGTTATAACCGTAGTTTACTGTACATGGAACTTTTTCTTTTAATTACGCTGGTAGTTGTCATTAAAAGTAATATAAAAAGCCAGGTATAAGAAAGTATATACTTGAAAATTGAAAATTACAATCGTTACTTGACTGAAAACAGTCGCCAAACACTGCAAACTTCAGGTTCAAAACACATCTTTGATGCCCATATCAGATACATCTCCATCGAATAACAATATCTTTCTTAAGCCCGGCAGGTTAGAATTAAGGTCAGGAAAAAAGTATTCATTTCGAATATTTTTCTCCACTTACAATGGACAAAGAGGTTCAAACTCATCCTCATCTTCAAAATCACCCAAAGTGCGAAACTCAATATTCCCACGTGGCTATCCGTCTCGATAAAGATATTGTATGAGGGTTATTCAAAATTCATAACATGGTTCGTAAATGGAAACTTTTTATTCATTGTTTACCATTCATTGTTTAGCATGTATTAGAAACCCGGCCTGCATTCTTTCAAAAAAAAATTCCTCTAAAATTAATCATATTACATTCAGTGAAACTGCATACGTATGTATACTACAAACTATTCACCTCAGTGTACCCGTATGTCTTTGTCTCGAAAACTTGACACGATGTTACTGGCTCATTGTCTATTCAAAATCTGAATGGATGTGTCTGGTTATGTCTCGTATGTATGAAAATACTTATTGAAATATACCTCATCGTGTTTTATCCTCTTTCCTGCTGAGCCTGTTAAAAAAGAGGATGGAGCGGCGTCTTCTTCGTCACGTGAGCTTCTATTTTCAGGGTAAAGACATTGGCTATTTTGCCTAGGTGAAAGATGAGCACATACATTGTTTGTACACACTGATTAACCCATAACGTACACTGCCCTTGTCAACACTACTGGACCTAGATCCGATAGTCCCCGTCGCCATATCACAAAGAAGGGTATTTTTCACACATGCTTTTGCGGTTTTGAATGACATTTTCCAAACCATACATTGGCTGCCTGGAAAAAGTGACACTAATTAAATTCTACAGTTTGCAGTTTAAAATTTAATGTTTAATTCATGACTATACGGGTCGAACGCTGCAGAATTACCTCCCCTGTTTTGGGGACCGACTTCCATTGACGACGATCTGCCCTTTGTCACCTCTAAGTCTACTATGTACGAGAGCCGCGTTCACCGTGTAAACATGTATGTTATGATTAACAAAATCTAATTTTCCGAATAATAGGTTTTGTTGTGTGTAGAAGGGATCGCCTAGAGCGCGGAACAGCTTATATTGCCGGGACGCTTGTCGTCTGAACCGTGGAAATGTCCTTTATAAACTGTGTTTTCGGAACTGTCAAATATGTCGGATTCTATAAGAGATTATTCTCATACTGGGCCGGGGTTATTGCGCTTAGAATACACGTGGCTGGGCGTCTTTAACCCTTTATATGTCACAGAAACGCTTTTACACCCAAATTTAAGACAATTTTCCGGTACGTTTTTGTCAACGGAAAATAAATAATATCGAAATTTAGGAACTGAAAAAAGTTTAAATTAAGATAATATTTTGTCTTAAATAAGAAAAAAACCAAGAATATATATGATCCTGTCAAACATAAGGGGTTAGTGCTAACGGTATTGTTTAAGTGACAGTAATGCTTTAGTGTCACAGTCTGTGAAATAGCCATTGCACTCTTGTAAAGGAACAGACCGTTTAATCAGCATGTGTGCTTTAACTATTTGGTTTGTCTCTGAGCATAAATAAACCTCCACCTCGACGAATATTTGTTTCATTGAATAAAAATACAACTTCCATATTTAATGCAATTAAAATCGAGAAAGTAAATTACAGTAAATTACGGTTATAAGGAACTAATTTTAGTACGCTTTAACCGTAGTTCGTTATGAGCAAATGGCCGGGATCAAGAAGCCAATTCGTTATAACCGAGTTCGTTATAAGAAACATGTTCGTTATAAACGTAGTAACTGCAGATGGTCTTAATTGATTATTCTCTGGCGTTGACGATATACATTTTCATATTTATTGTAATTAAAAAAAGGAAAGTATGAATTTAAGTTTCACTATTTAGAAATTTATACATGAACAAACTTAGTAATTTCTGATTATTTTATGGCGTTGATGTTATATATTGACTCGATTTGCGATTAATAAAACATAATGTATATGTCAGGAAAGCTATCTTGTTTGAAAATGGACACTCTATGTTTCTCACTAGAATATTACGTTGAGATGCACCTGCGGGATGTATGTAATTTGATTTGTCTTCCTCGCAAACTGTACAGAATTTCTCCATTTAAAATGCCCGGCTAGCGCGAGTATCCATCTTCAGTTTAAGTAATGAATCACGAAAATAGATAGCCCAATACTTACACATATACGTGAACTTGTCAATTGGTGAGGTGAAGTGAGGTTTAACGTCGCGTTCAAGATGTTTGCACTTATATAGAAAATCTATTAGCGACGTGCAACCATGTGTGTTTGGCTGCTTGTACAAGTTCGGTTTTGTAGTGCTAACCTACTGCGTTACCATGCCGCTGTTTACCTCAGACACAGTATACAGTCCTTGTTTTATCCCCGTAATACCGATCCAGTACTAATCAACAACTACCATCTTTTGAGGTATTTTGGTATGACGCGGGGTGGGTATCGAACCACCGACATACCGCCCTCAGGCGCTTTATCCACTTGACCACAGAGGCTGTCTCTTGTAAATTGAAAAATAGGTGACTAATAACAGTTGTATTATCTTTCAATATTGAAATATCGATTCATTCTGAATACAGTAAAATCTCGTTAATTCGCATCCCTTCGCTTAAGACAAGGTAAGGTTATGGCAATATTCTTTTCGGCACTGTATATAGCGTCGCTCCCCTTGTCTCGAACTTCGGCTTACTCGCCATAGTTCGACGGTCAGGGATTCTTCAGCCGTGCACGTGGGTTTCACAAAATAGGTAACATCTAAGAACTGCATTACCTCGGGGTTACCTCCCACATTCCGAAATACAGTTATCACTGGAGTTAAGCCAAACTCACTCACTCGCCCTCGCGCAGAATTTAATTTCCTGTAAATACACTTTAAATGATACAAGTACAAAATTAGTAATTATATATAAGCACATATACAAAATATACAGCAAATGGCAGTTCGTTATATCCGTCAGTTCGTTATAAGAGTGTTCATTATAAACGTAGTTAGTCTTACTAGTTACATGTAATATGCAGTCATGTGATCTATTTATATGCAACTGCTGTAGGTATTGCCGTATATAAAAACTAATCACGTGTGAATGAAGGCAGGCTATCGTATAAGCGATCCATACCCTGAGACGGCACCAAGCGGTGAAGACTATAACAAGTCAATCTGTAGCATTCAACCTGTCAAGATGAGCCGCCGATGGAGGCAGATTGTTTAGGTGTGTGATCCCCGTGTCGAGATATAGCTGCAGTGGTGTGTGCATGGTCAGACGTCGACATGGAACAGACTTGAGATGGAATCTGTCAGTTGTTGTCGAGTACATTTACATCGTAGTGCATAGACGACGAGTGACAGCACGTTGCAAGCATGAAATGAACTTCCGCTGAAAATAATGTATGCCGAAGCCGGGAAATTTCTTCCTGAGGCAGAACCTTTACATTTCGATAAAGATTGTTAAAAAATAATCTTTTGACCTGTCCTTAATATATTTTTATTTTTAAGCACTGTTAAAAAACGATGTTTAAACTCGAATTTCGTGTTTGTACCGGATCCGACCTTTGTACATACGTGCACAAGGGGTGCGTCCTAAAGAGGACGCATAAGTTTGATGGTGCATAAGTTTCAAGTTAACTTTTATAGACTATAAACCTACAAAACAGTTTTGTTACTGTCAGAGAGCCTTATATCAGATCTTG